CTGGCAGATTCGGAGCAAACCACTCCGCCTTGCAGGGACTAGTTTCACTGAAAATCTGAGAATGCGTTGCCTTCATTTCCGGTACAGTTGAGCAGCTAGGTTGTCTTCTGCTGTTTTTTTTAGGCGGTGTTCGTTTAGTCACCCTGTGCACTTGTTTACATTCCTAAAATGGCGTTGTTTTAACTCTTCCGGACGTGCTGCTGCTGGTTTAGTCTGCGCTTGGAGCGACAGCGAAAGCACTAGTTCTGCTACATAGCAGCAGCAAGGGCGTCGAGCCGTACGCGCTATACGAAGTGATGTATAAGGCAATGTTTCCTGGCCAGTCGTGTGCACGGCCGACGATAATTGGCTACGACGACGAAGTCTCTGGTACTGGTTTAGTGATGCATGCGTAAACAACTTCCGGAGCGATCCGGGTGCTCGCTCCAGTATTTCGGCAGCCACTTCAGAACTACCAGTGGAATTGGGCATGCGATTAAATTGTACCTTAGAAAGAAAAGAAAATTGAGTGTCACTGAGGCCGTCAAACTTGAGTCGCCATGTGTGCTTTGAAGATTTGGCAAAATTTATATGAACACCAGTGTGTCTAGATCTCAGTTCATTTTAAAGAATCTTAATAGTCAAAGTTATTCCAGACGACGTGCCTCAGTCATGCCGTATAACTTCGCGCAACACTGCATGTTTATTTTTTTTGCATTATCTCGAGCGCTGTTGTGTTGTCTGTAGAAGCCGACATTATTCACATGGACAAAAAAAAAAAACTTTTTTCACATTAAATAACCGATTGTTCAATACATCACTGTCATGCCGATAATCGTTTGAAGAAAGCCGTAAACTTTTTATGCTGTCATTAGAGTAAAAACTAAGTGCACTAAAGCACTGTCAGCCACGTAGCTTTCCTGAATAGACTTATCGACTGTCTTGCATTCATTTAGTGAAGAACTGATTTAGAAAAATTGTGGATGCATAGTGTCAGTTATACCAGCTCTATTTCCTCTATACCAGTCCATTTGACTCCGCAGTTGCTACCTGTCCTAAGTAGGCATATTCCTTTACAACTTCCAGCGTCTCTCCACCTACTGCAAAATGCTGTTTTCTTCCGTGACTGATGCACATTACTTTAGTTTTGTGCATAATAATTTTAAATCCTACTTTTCTGCTTTCTGTGTCCAGTTCAGTAATCATGAGCGGTAATTGATCCCCTGAGTTACTCATCAAGGCAATGTAATCAGGGAATCGCAGGTGAATGAGATACTCTCCATTAACTCTTATCCCTAACGCATCCTAATGTAGGGTCTTGAATACCTTCTGTAAACACGCGGTGAATAGCATTGGAAAGATTGTGTCTTCCTGCCTTACACCCTTCTTCATTGAGATTCTGTTGTTTTCTTTATGGAGAACTATGGTGGCTGTGGATCCTCCGTACATTACTGCCAGTATGTTTATGTAGCGTTCTTCGATGCCCTGATTCCGTAGTGCCTGCATTACTGCTGATGTCTCGACGGAGTCAAACGACTTTTAGTAATCTATGAAAGCTATGTATAGGGGTTGGTTTCAGCGCATTTCTCTATTATTTGATTAATAGTATGATTATGGTCTATTGTGGAGTAGCCGGTATCATATCCTGCTTGGTCCTTTGGTTGATTGAACTCTATTATCGCCTAAATTCTATTAGCTATTACTTTTGTAAATAGTTTGTAGAGAATGGACCGTAAGCTGATAGGCCTGAATTTTCCTGTTCTTGACGTCGTCTCTTTTCTCATGGATTAAGATGATGTTGGCATTCTTACAAGATTATGGTACCCTTTCCGTCACAAGGCACTTTGTATATAAGGTGGCCAGTTTTTCTAACACAATTTCTCTACCTTTTTTCAGGAGGTCTGTTGTTACCTTATCCTCACCAGCGGCTTTGCCTTTTTGAATTCTTTTTAAGGCTTTCCTTACTTCCCCTGTCGTTACTGCCGCTTTTCACAGCTTGCTCGATTTTTCCATGTTATACCTCCTGATGTTAGCTACCTTACGCCTATTGATTAACTTCAAAAGTTCCACTGGCTCTATTTTGTCGGTTGCATTTGAGGCTTTCATGGTTTGTCGTCTTTAATTAGATATTTTCTTCCCGGAGATAGTTCGCCAGTTTTCAGCTTAGTGACTATACCTCCAACTTCAATAGCACACTCTTTGATGATACTATTAAGATTATTGTTCATTGTGTCAACACTAATGTTGGTTATTTCGTTTAGTGCCTGGAATTGATTCTGAAGCAATACTCTGAATTCCTGTATTTTCCCTCTTACTGCCAGTTCATTCATTGGCTTCTTGCGTATCAGATTCTGTCCTTGCTTTTTGAAATCTAGGTGAATACGAGCTCTTACCATTCTATGGTGACTGCATCGGATCTTGCCAACTACTTCTAAATCATGTACAATGCCTAGGGTGTACACACAAAATGAAGTCTATTTCATTTTTAGTTTCGCCATTAAGACTTCGTCACGTCCACTTACGGTTGGCCCGTTTTCTGGAAAAGGTACTCATAATTCGTAAGTTATTGCATTCTGCGAACTCTACTAATAAGTCCCCTCTGGCATTTCTAGAGCTGATGCCATATTCCCCCACTGCATGGTCTCCAGCCTGGTTATTGCCTATTTTGACATTAAAGTTGCGCCATAAGAATAGTATACAGTGTCTTAACTTTATTAATGGCTGACTCTATGTCTTCATAGAAGCGTTCGACCAAATGATCATCATGGCTCAATGTAGGTATGTAGGCCTGTACCACCTTCATCTTGTACCTTTTGCTGAACTTAATTATGACACTTTCCACCCCCTCACTGATGCTATGGTATTCCTCGATGCTGCCAGCGATATTCTTGTGTGTGAGAAACCCTACTCCTAGTTCTTTTCTGTTAGCTAATCCACGGTAGCATAGGACGTGTCCATTTTTCACCACTCTATAAGCCTCATGTGTTCTCCTAACTTCGCTGAGCCCTATTACATCCCATTGAACACCCTCTAATTCCTCGAATGGGACAGCTAGACTAGCCTTACTAGATAGCGTTCTAGTGTTAAATGTAGCCAAGTTCAGATTTCAATGTCTGCCTGTCGGTACCCAGGGATTCGTAGCACGCTCCGCTGTGTCACAGGTCTGACCGCCGCCTTGAACAGTTGCTTCACAGCTGCTGGGGACTGAGGGCCAAAGGTTAATTGCTGTGTTCAAGAGATTGTGGCCAGGCACTGCTCCAGGGTAGCCAATCCTGCATTTCGGTCAGAAAGTCACCAGTAAGGCCGCACCCCAGACCTCTGTATTTATCAACTATTCCTTCCTCACGCATTTTAAGTAGATGTATGATTGGGAATGGTTCGACATCTTTATTCAAACCAGATTTTCTCATGGCATGCTAGGCTGCTGCGCTATCTCAAAGTAGGGGGATCTGTTGCACTTTCTTAGCAATGTAGAAAACCACCTGACCGCCTATTAAGTCCCAACTTCACCTGACCAAGAGCTTGCCTCAACTTTTTTTCTTAACTGCTTAAAAATATAATCCCCCCCCCCCCCCAAAAAAAAAAAACACCCTGCATAGTTTCTAATTTCTGACCTTGCGAGCTTAGGCTTCCCGATTAGTGCCTTGAATGAACCTCTTTCTCAAACGTTTCTTTTCTCCTAACTTTTTCCTGTCTCGCTTGATATTGACATTGTTGGTTTCAGAATGTCCGCTGTCAGAATGTCCACAAAATGTTAGCCAAGTAACATAAAACAATGGATGAGAAGGTAAGGAGTGAATTATTTCTAGTTCTAGAAAGCGGGGAAAGGAAAAAAAAAAAAGAAAAGAAACTTAGTAAAAAAGCAATGTCGTGTTCACTTCACTCACCACAAAACGTCGGCTTGAATTCCTAGACTTCGAGGACTTTGTCACCCATTCTCACACACAACAGTAAGTCCATAGAGTATGTATGTGCATTTTAAACGAAGGAGGGCCACTCAATGCAACCTGTTGCCGTTGCGTTGAGTGTGGGACACTCATTTTCTGCCGGCTGCCGTCACGTAGCACGTGATCTCATCACAAGCCGGCAGCTGTCCAGTAATCTCTCGCATGCCATCTAAAGGCATAAAGGCCAAACACCATAAGTGCGAAATTGCATACGACAATGACAAGGGACGAAACAGGACGTTCGCATGGTGCATCGCCTGGTCCTTTTCGCGTGATCGCTTGGTTTTTCAGATTTAGAAACCGTTGCCCATCGCCCAAAAGTGCCGAGCTCAAAATGCCGGAACAGTATGTACATGACTGATACGACTCCTGTCGTATCAGTCATGTTCTCCATGTGCCGCGAAACCACGACCTCCTCTCCGCCCTAGTCACGTGTGCGCAACGAAAAAATGACAATGTTTATGCTGGTGCATATAAAAAAAAAGTGCTACAAGGCAATAATAAACATCTTTAGTTGCAATGTGTTAGAACCCATTTTATTTTTACATTGCATAGCGTAAACTATGCAGCATTTTTGTTGCGCGTAGGCGGCCTGATAGCAGAAACTGTGGAGTTCGCTAGCCGAAGTGTTTGCGTGAGAGAGGTTTGCCTGCAAAAGTGACCGCGTAAACGTGATCTACGTCGTGTTGTTGCTCTCGCGTGCATTTTTGCGGTTATGGGCGTTTCACTTTGAGTCTGCCAGAACGAGACCCTAGTTACGAATGAAGGAAAAAAGGGCTGGTTTGCTTTGTTAGACATATTGGTAATGAGAACTGGCAGACAGTTATGACAAAGAAAGTATAGGGTATGTTATTAGAAGTGAACGTAATGTAAGTGTGGAAAAAGAAATGTGAACGAAAAGATACATACCAACTGAGCTACCACGGCAGCTATCCTCTGTCCACTCTATGTATGTATGTGCATTTAAACATAACTCCGTTGAATACGAACAATATTTAGTGGTCATGGCCCCTCTGATGATTGTTGTGGGTCGGTTCTGAGCACCCAAATGGTAAACGAGCCTGTGTCGCCCAGGACACAAACCAGCTGTATGCCATGAAGACCCTGAGCAAGGAAGATGTGCTCAAGCGCAACCAGGTGGCGCACGTCAAGGCCGAGCGAGACATCCTGGCCGAGGCGGACAACGAGTGGGTCGTCAAGCTCTACTACTCGTTTCAGGATGAGCGCAACCTGTACTTTGTGATGGACTATATCCCGGGTGGGGACCTGATGTCCCTGCTCATCCGGCTAGGCGTCTTCGAGGAGCACCTGGCACGCTTCTACATTGCTGAACTGGTGCTGGCCCTGGAGAGTGTGCACAAGCTGGGATTCATCCACCGCGACATCAAGCCGGACAATGTGCTCATTGACCGCGACGGACACATCAAGCTCACCGACTTCGGACTCTGTACGGGCTTTCGATGGACACACAACTCCAAGTACTACCAGAAGAATGGTAGGCCCTTACTATTCAAATCAAGCCCCGCCCCCCCTGTTGCGACCTCGAGCTAGCAGTGTTGTAAATAAGTAGGCTGTGCCCTCCAGATTATTTTTGTTTGCAGTAAACTGTTCTTAAAAGAGTAGACTTTTCTAAAATGTTATGGTGCATGCATGGGTGACATTACACAGTAAAAGCTGATTGATTTGTGTGCTTAGTTCAGTTTAAATGTACACAATGAGAAAAGGAGTGAATGTACTCCTAGAACCATCTGCAAACTCTTGATATACTCAGTTGAGATGCTGAATAATATGTGAATATTATGTGTTCAGTATATTATAAACTCAATGCAAAAAATAATGACGATAACAAATAAATAATAAGTAATAATAAATAAATTCCCATAAGCGAGCCACCTATTAGTCTTTTGTTAAGATGAACGTTTGCTATAATGCTGGAGCTTCTGCATCAATTTCTATTTAAAGACACTTAAGTATATGGAGTGGAATATGGAGTGCTCCTCAGATGATTTTTCACACGATATTGATAATGAATCACCATATTTCCAGCTCTTCACAAGAGCTCCTTGATGCTAGAAGCAAATGCTTGAATGTAAATGCAAATTAGCTGCCCCAAAGTGCTTCAAGATCTTTGATTGATCTCATTGAGAGAATACAGAACCGAGCGGCAAGGTTCGTCATAAGGCGGTATGAACGAAGCGACAGCTGTACTGAAATGAAAGACGTGCTGGGAAGGGAGGTGCTGTCTTTTCGCAAGAAAAAATTACACTTGAAAATGTTATTTCAGATATGCCACTAAAGGACTAGCATTAACAAAGACAAGTGCCTCATGCCACCGTATCATCTGTCCAAAAGATGTGATGATCCTTTTAAAATTCAAGAATACCGGACTAGAAGCAACCTATATGCTAATTCTTTCTTTTTGTAGAGTGAAATCATTTCTCTTGTGACCAAGTGTGGTGTAATATCGATGATTTATTTTTTCCCAAGCTGTAACCCCTCTGCATACACGCCTTATGGCACAGCAGGGTACTTCTGAATAAATAAATAAATACTAAATGAATACAAAATATGGAAGCTTTTACTGTTATAAAGTGTTCCAAAATGGAAATTTCACTGCGCCAAAATTACTCTATATCAAAAGTTCTCCATAGCATTAGCCTTTGTTATGTAATTAACTCTTTTGTAATCAATTTCTATTGTTTTTTTAGAAGTGTGATGCTTTTCTCCCTTCCCCCCTCTTTTTTTTTTTTTTTCAGACTTCATATGTCGTTTTGCTTATACGTTGTTTTTATTCAGGCTAGATAGGGCCCATAGTAAGTAAAAGGGCAGTGCACTTCATGGCTGGATAATGCCACTAAAGCTGAACGGCCACCTCATTCTGTATAATGAAGTCTATTTCCTCTTTATTCCAAAGACTGTTTCAGTGTTACGTCCATTCTAAGATAATTGAAATGTGTACTAGTCCACACAAGCTGCTATAATTTTTTTTTTTGAGCACCTAGAATGCTACAGACCGTGTCGAGTTACAAAGGCTGTTTATTTTTTCTGGTCCCGTTCATCGACTTCGGTTTGCCAGTAACCACTTTGGAGGTTGATTGAGGAAAAGTACTTTGCTCGCCTCAGTACACGTCTGTCGCGGTGTATGGTATTCACCATAGCAGGTTTCTGAAATGAAAAAGGACGAAGTAGGCGTTCTCGGTAGCACACGCTCGTAAACATTTGATAAAGGGACAAGCAACTCACATTATACACAATATACAACACAATACTCGCATTGTGCACAATAAGTAGATATGTAGTGGTATGTATAAATTCAATTGACAGTTAACAAAAGAAGGCAAAGTCAATGCACGCCCATCATCGTTGGTACCGGCCCGGAACACCAGCAGCGTCTTGAGACGTGCTCCTTGTCCTTGGTAGTTGAGTCGGGACTGGAGGTTCCGCTGGGAATCTGGTAACCAGGTGGTGTGTTGCGATGTTCAGGTTTGCTGTTGGGCTGCCTGACTGAGAACTGCAATCCACAGTGTATATCATTTATAATGTGCAGAACTGGTTACAATGCGGTCTTTTTCGTTTCTCGTTTCCTCTTCCATAGAAACCCATGTATATGCATACCGTTTATTGAGTAGTCCCTCAAGGTGAAAGACGGGTTATGATGCAGTTGCTGGAAAATCTTTCTGACAAACGCGGTAGAGTGCACGTCTGCAAGAAAACACGCCAGGGGTGCTGCTGGGGAACGAGCGACGAGGTCGTTTTGGTGGAGGAGGAGGCGCGAAGTGAACGAACAAAGGGTGTGGGAGAAGAAAAGAAAAAAAGACCCGGGCATGCTGTGCAGGCTCGCCGCGTCGCCGACGCGGCTTCCCAGCCAACCATGTAATGTCCAGTACACATCAAATAAATATCAACCATATGATATTTTTATCTTCAATGAATGTCTACAAAAGTTAATTTAATATTTATACGATATCTAGAGGATGTCCATTTTGAACAGAGTTCACCTTCATATGATGTCCACACCAGTTCCACACACAATATTGATATAATATCGGCAATATTAGTACAATATTTGGAGAATGTCTATTTTGACGAGAGTCAACATCCATAGATTGTCCTCAGCAGTTCTACAGATAACATTGGTATATAGACACTTATTTTTAGGTGCAGCGACGCACATATGCATACTATCTGGGGTTTTATGTCCCAGAACTACAATACGAATGAGAAACACCGTAGTGGAGGGCTCCGGAAATTTTAACCATGTGGTGTTCTTTAACGTGCACCGCCATTGCAGAGAACACGTACCTCTACCATAACGCCTCCAATGAAATGCGACTGCCGCGGCCGGCATTGAATCCGTGACCTTTGGGTGAGCAGTTGAGAAACCCTGATCACTGTTCCACTGAGATGGACAGACGTGCATGAAATCGCACCATATGCTACAAAATAATTTTTTTAATTTCTTTTTTCAATTTTTATTTTTTTAATTTTTATTGTAAATGTGCATTATTTTTCTTCTATATTCATTACGTTACATTACATTGAAGTTTATTTCTTTCTGATACAGAAAGAGGAGTAAGAGCTAAAGGCCGTATTGCCTGACAGAGGCTCCTACTCCCATGCGCATTCGGCATGCGTGTACATGTTTGCATGCGATGCAAGTATACAAACAATAGAGGAACCAGAAAAATCATAACATGCATGTACATAATCGTCACTGCAAATAAAGCATTACAGATAGACATCATACATGAAAACTCTTCATGAAAACAAACATATTATACAGACACTCCAAGATTATGTACCTATACGCATTAAATTGTGAACTTTCAAATTGTAGCACAAACTGTATTTGCGGTACACGTAGAAAATTAGACAGATATATTTTATTGATAAGTTATCGTGGAATGTAACAGAAAGTTCTTTATAAATTTTTTAAAGCGGGGTGCATGAAAATCTATATGATGTTCAACAATGTTCAATAACCGGGGTACTTGATACTCAAGGTCCTGACGCCCGTAGTTAGTTCGCATAAGTGGTGGCATTCTCGTTTGGTGGCGTAATTTATATCGAGGGGGAGAAACAGGCAGGCTACTAACATGGAGCCTGTGCTTTTTTATGTGCAAAAGTAATCTATAATAGTAGATTTGATTTGCTCTGATTAACGAGTGTTTCTCAAAAAGATTGTGTGTGGGTAAATCTCGCGGTCTACCGTGATAGTTTTTGAAAATTTGCATTGCCCTTTTTTGCAGTTTTATTAATTTGTTGTAATTTTTTGCAGTTATTGTTCCCCATATTAATGCACAATAGCTAAGTTTTGAGTGAAAGAGGGCGTAGTACATTGCCTTCTTTAGTGTTAGTGGTATAAGACTACTAATTTTATACATAGAGCCTACTACTTTACTGAGGTCGCTGCTGAGTTTATTGATATGATCGTCCCAAGAGAGGTTTTCTTGAAACCACACCCCCAAAAACTTTTGCGTTGATAGCTGTTCTATCTGCTCTCCTTTAAATAAAACAGTAATCTTGTCAGGCATTGGCTTATTTATCGGTTTAAATATTATATACTTAGTTTTGCTGACATTTAATTGAAGTATGTTTAACTTCAGCAAGTCAGATAATAAATCTGAATAGATCATTAATTTCTTTTTCAATCTGTTGTAGGGATGAATTTGAAAAGAAAAGATTAGTGTCATCCGCATACATGACTATGTTCGGTGTAGGTGAAATGCTTGGGAGGTCATTGATATACATGTTAAATAATACCGGGCCAAGTATTGATCCCTGCGGTACGCCACTCTGTACTCTAAGATATGGAGAGGTCACCTGATTAAGTGAAACATACTGAAAACGATCCGTTAAGTAGCTTCGCATGAGATCTAACGTTGTACCGCGTATCCCATAGCTATGAAGTTTAGATAACAGTATTTCATGATTCACACTGTCGAACGCTTTACGGAGGTCAAGGAATAAACCAACCGTGTATAAACGATTTTCAATGTTTTGTAGTATTGGATGTTTTATTTTGAGGAGTGCATCCTCACATGATTTATTTTTCCGAAATCCATACTGAGATGTACTAATTATAGCATACTTATTTGGAAAAACCTTCCAGTCGTGAATTAATAACAGTCCTCAAAAAGTTTTGAGAAGAGTGGTAGTATTGAAATAGGTCAGAAATTGTTTACAGAATTGTCTGCACCCTCTTTGTGAATTGGAGAGACACGGGCTATTTTAAGTTTGCTTGGAAAAATTCCGCATTCGAACATTCTATTGATAATATGGGCTAGGACTGTAGATATGATATCCGATACATATTTTATGGGAGATGCCAGTATACCGTCAAATCCTGCAGCTGCATTGCATTTAAAACTACTGATTACCTTTTCAACTTCACCTGCAGTCGTAGGAAATAATACAAAAGAATTTGGCACAGATTGTTTCGTTACAGTTGTCTTACATACTCGGGATTTTCAAAGGAATTGCTGTTACAGCATT